GGGCGTTCGAACATTTTTTTGCGAAAAAAAAACCCTACAAATCGATTTGTAGGACTTTTTAACATGGAATTGGTTCCGTAATCGACCTACCCAATGCATATTACACATAAAAGAGTCGAAATTACATCAAAAAATCGAAGCTCAACCCTTCTTCAAGCTTGATTTCGAATTTTCGATTTTTTTTTTTTTTTGCTATTTGCAGTTTTGGGGGGTTTTTAGATATTTTTAAAAGTTTTGAGGGGTTTTGTTAGAAATTGCGAATACCAATTTTGTGGCCGCAAATAGCATTTCATTTTATTGTGTTTTGAGGGTGTTAAGTATTATTAATTATTTTCGAGGGAGTAAAGTGCAAAAAAACCCTAAAAAACTCTTCTTTTTTTCATTCGTTTCCTTTAAATCAATTAACAAAATGGTGGCCGATCAGAAACAGCGCAGACGTTCCGAAACGAGGGAAACTCGACACACTTCAGACACAGTTCCTCCGTCTACCAAGGAATTTTCGATTGGTATTTCCCCTTCTTACTAATTTCATCACAAACTCCCACAATTTAATGTTTTTGTTTTTTTTTTTTGTTTTATATTTATTTTCGTGGGTTGTCTTAATTGTCGATTAGCAACTCTAATATGTCGGAAAAAAATCTCTCTTTTTGATTTTTCTCGAGTTGTTGGAATTTTGTTTATCGCGGAAGTGTCGACGGACGGAAGTCATATACAGTAGAACCTCGATAAATTTTTAACATCATTTAAATAATTTATTTTTCGATCCCGACTCGAAGGCAACGTGCTAAATAGTATTTCGTTAAATTAATATTTTGCTAAATTAATAGAATTCGGCTGGTTCTAACTCTATTCATTTTATAGAGGTTTAACCCTTTTTTTTCTTTCATTCTTGGTGTTAGTTTTTGGATGGTGATGGATGCCAAAGATATTCAATTAGATCTTCATGCCCTAAAAAGCCTATACGGGCTTCTTGAAAAAGATCGAAATCGAACATCGAACGCAGATTCGGTAAGCGTTTCGTGTTTCGTTTATGTTATGATTATTCTGTGTTGTGTAACGAAAGTGAAAAAGTTTCGTGTTTCGTTTATGTTATGATTATTCTGTGTTGTGTAACGAATTCGAAAAAAAAAAGTACCGTTACTTGTATATAAATCTTCAAAATTTATGCATCTAAGTTGTTGTATTTCTAGTATTTTAAATCACTTTATCGAAGACTCGACATTTTTGCGTTTTTGCTAATCGATAATTTTGGGAAAGAAAAAAAAAAAAGAATTATGTGAAGGTTCGTTTGTATCATGAATGTGACATGGTGGAATGTGATGACGATCTCGTGTCGCGTTTATTAACCACGTTATTTCTTACTACCCTTAAAACCTCGTACGTTATTTGTGACGATCCAATTTATTTATTTAAAAAAAAATTGTTTTTTTCGGGAGTAGCTGGATGAGCATGCGAGGCTTCTGCTGAATAATTTATTAGACGCAGAAACGAAAAGGGTCCTCAAGTTACATTCGGAGGTATGTTAATGCATGTCGGAAATATAGATTTTCTTTTTCTATCGAGACGATTTGACATTTAGATATATATGCGCAAACGGAAGCCGTTTTCATTTCCGAAAACGAAAAACGAATTGAATTTTTTTTCTTTCTGAAAATGCGAATTCCGACCCTGAAATATGGTGTACACAGATCATTTCAGGTGAAGTCGAGTTGTCCAGGAAACAGGTTACTCCACTATCGAAATCGTTGAAATCCAATCGAAGCTTTGATAAAGATACAAATACAGATGGATTATTAGATATCACTTTGTGGGGCCCGCCAAGTTTTAGTGGGGCCCAAACTCGAAAGAAACGGTGCAGGGTTTGTTTGAGGAACACCGTAAAAGAACCCACGGAGGACGACGAGACAATATTTTTCGATGTGGCCCAAAATCTGAACAGCGACGAAGAAACATACGAATCGAAAGAACTCGATTGCTTGTCCAAAGAAGCTTCCGAAGCAATCAAGAAAATCGAACTGTGCATCTCGGCATTTGATATATGGGCAGATCACTTGCACCATTTCGAGGAGGGCAACAATATTTCCGCTCAGACCCGTTTTCGTGATTTCGACACGCGCCAAAATAATTTTCTGTCCGAATTTTCGAATCAAAGGTTTGTCGATTTGCCTATTATGACATCAGCGGAAAAGACGAATCCGCCGTATTTGTTATTGGGACAGCCTTTCAAGATTGTCCAACCGACAACTAAACCAGTTTTCAGACAATCGACGAATAATTATATCGTAGATAACGTCGAATCTTCTTATCATGGTTCGACTATGGTGGCTCGTGGCAAAAACGAATCGAAAAAGGCACCGCAATACGACGAGATTCCAACGAACAAAAGGGCAGCAAAGACTTATATACAGGATCAAGAATCGGAATCTACATCGTCCGACTCGTACTCAAACAGTCCGTACAGCGACAGCGAAGAATATTCTTCACCTGATAAAACCCGAGAGCAGCTTCAGTATGGGAGTACTACTTCAAGCACAAGCAGCGAAATCGGGGCTTCGCTAACTTCACACAGTGGTGACACAAGCAACACCGAGGAGGAGGATGAGTTTTACTCGTCCGATAGCAGCGATGCAGCAGCTCGTGAAGTAACTTCAAGCAGCAAAAGCGAGGGGTACTCATCGTACCTGTCGGTGGGGCCCACGTCGAAGAAATCGAGCCGTAAGAAACAAATCGGAATGTGGAGGAGCTTGAAAGACAGGCTGGCGGTTATTTTCCACCACCACCACCACCACCACCACCATCACCACGACGACTATTGTGGTAAAGATGGTCGCAAAAAGATGAGCAGAAACAAATCTCTACGCAAAGGGAGAGTCGAGAGTTTTAAAAGAGAGCACGAGGCGTACGGTGAAAAGGCGAGCAAATCCGTCGTACGAGAAAAGAAGAAGAATCATTTTAACGGGCTCGTGGAAGGTCTGTTGAGGCACGTTCGAAACTCGAAGAAAGAGCCAACGAAGAAGAAGAAAAAACGAGGGAACGAGAATGGTTGTCGGCAGTTAACGAAAGGAGGAGGGAAGAAGAATTCGAAAAAGCCGTCACCCCATTGGTTGAAATTGATGAAATTGCACAGAGGAGGGAAGTTGACAAATAAAGGTCTCGTGACGATCGGTTTAGGTAAAAAGAAAGCCCGTTTAAAAGCTCTTCCGACAATTAAATGAGACTGTCAAAAAAACGGCTTCTCCGTTGGTATATTCGGTAAGTAAATATGTATCGTTCTTTATATAAATATATACATATCAACGAGCAGTGAAATTACGGTTACGGTCGTATTTACAGGAGGTATAATATCACATGTTGAAACATCTTTATTCAACCCAATTTATGTCGAACTCCTTGAGTTGCATTTGCCATTTTTGTGTGTCTTGTGAAACATATGTTTTCGATGGTATATTCTCTTGACCAATTATACTGTGTGACACGACAAAGTCAACCTTCTTTTCTTTCGAAAGTCCACCTTGTCGGTTGGGGTGCCTCACCTTGAGCGACAAAAGACGAGATACTTCGTGCAGTCCTCCCCATTTCTCCAATGCGCGCGCAATGTCGTAACGACCTGCATTCGGAAAAAAACATAAAAATAAACAAAAAATATGATTTTAAGACCAATGATTTCAAGAATTTACTATCTCTCTCTCTCTAGAAGAGATGTTCGTACGAACCTGCACGTTCGAAAGATTTTCGACTAGGCATGAATGATGAATCCATACCCCAGTTCCTCTGGAATCGATTAATCTGCAAGGTAGAAGAAAGTTATAACAGAACTAGAACTTTCAGAAAAATTCCAATTTTTCTTTTTCCGGTAGTGAAATCTGAAATCGGTATAGAAAAACTTGTTCCAAAATCGATTTTTTTAAAAAATAAATAAAAATTCTCGAGTTTCCATTTTCAGTCACATATAATATACAATACATAATAACAGTAATATTATAAAACTAGTTTACGGAAAAAAAAAAAATCGGATCGGAAATTGGAATTTAATATGTATTCCAAAAAAAAATTGGATATCGAAATTTCAGAATTCGAAATGTTCCAAAATCAGAATTGACGGAATTCGGAAATTCTGTTCCGATTTCCTCCCTTAATGCAGACTCTCGGTAAATGACTGACTAGAATAAGAATTGTTTCGTAAAAAAAAGGACATAAATAACTAACCTCTTCTTCCAAATTTTCAAGATTATCCCAATAACCTTTTGGTTTTCGGTGTTTATAGGCAAGTGACAGATTCATCAATAATGCGATTCTCCTAAATCCACCCATGCGCGTAATTGCCTTCTCGATATCGACTCGCCCATGCTCACGTAATTGCTTTCGCATGGGCATAAATCCTTGCTGCCCGTGTTCGGAAATGAAATTTACGAGCTCCGATTTAAGAATTTCAATGTCTCTCTGCAAACCTGGAACTTTTGGCCTTTGTTTAGACGAACTCGAGACGCAATAAGAATCCTTTGCTTCGGTACTAAGGGAGTTTGCGCTTTTTGATGAGGCTGTGTCTTTATCTGCTGCACAGCTGTCGTTGTCCTGACGATTCTCGATCTCTCGTTTCTCCATGTAATCTCGAATAGCACACAAGTTTGAAGGGAGATCTTCGTAAATCACCTACAATGTTGTAATACGGAGAAAGAGTAAAGCAGTTGGACGGATTAGATCAAAATTAGCACTTTTGAAGAAAAAAATTCCCGATGTTTTTCGGAAGTAAAAAACTATAATTCCATTCCAGAAAATTCGGAAGATCAGAATTTCGAAAAATGGAATGAAAACATTTGCTCCAAAATCGAAAATTTTAGGATCAGAATTGGCGGAATTAGGAGAATTCCATTTTCTAGTAACCTAAAATGTAAAATACATAATTATTTGATGGTATTATAAGTGTAATTGTTGGAGAGAAAAATCGAAAATTTTGGTCATTTTTGGAAATCAAATTAAATTGGCAATGGGAATCTCATATATATTCTAATTACAATCCAAAAAAAAATGGGAAATCGGAATTTTGGAAATTAAAATCAGATCAGTAATCATAATCACATATATATTCCAATTCCAAACCCTTTTTTTTTTTGAGGAAAAATTGGAATTTGGGATGAAAAATATTGTTCCAAAATCGAAAATTTCCGATAAATCTGCGGAAATTGGAAAATTTGTTCCAATTTCCACCCCTAGCCCCCGATAAATAGTGGCAACTAATAAATACGAACCTCTTCCATAATAGCTTCGGAAAGAAAGGAGTTCTTGTGCATTTTGGACTCAACCGAATACTTCAACAGTGTGTGGTGACTACCAAATTTCTCGAGAATCCATTTCCCTCGAAAAGAATCAAAGTCTCCTTCAACTTGCTCGAATCGAATCTCTTGTTCGAGATCCTCGCATAAATCAAGTACAACACGTGCATGCAGAACCATGTACAACAGTCCCTTGCACCCTTCCTGCACTATCAATCTATTATTATAAGTCAATTCGAAACATACGTAATTTTATTTATTCGCATAAATTAAGTACTCGAATATTCGTACCTGAAGAATTCGGACTTTATTGTTTTCTCGCGACAAAACCTTGCTGATAGCTAAATTCGGAACTATCCTGTATAAGTCAAATCGTAATCCGACTATTCAGAAACCCGAAATATGAACATACGAAAATCGAGTGACATGCATAATATAATAAATAAATAAATAAAAATCGAGTGACATGCATAATAAAAAAAAAAAAAAAAAAAAGGCCGTACTCAGGGAGACTCTCGTAAGCCGTGAGAATATTCCAAACTTCACGAACCGGAGCTTTTATTGTTATGCTTGCAACGACGCATCGATGAACACCTCCATTTTCCTTCATCCCATAATAAATTCATTTAATAATTCTTTTTATTTTTTATTTATTTTTTTTGTGTGGAAAAAAAAAAGGAAAATGAACTATTTACCAATAAGCCATCGAATCTACGGAGATGAACTTCGTCCACCATGCACGGTTTATCGAGCGAGCAAGTTTTTCCAAAGATTCCCCAATTACTATTCGACTCTCCATTCGTAGCAGGTGACAAAGGACCGAAACTCGCTTTCACGTACTTTTCCTTAACAATAGTATCTCCACTCGTAACGTCGTTCTTCAATTCCGTTTCTATATTATTATTACTTTCAACGGAATGGGAATATAAAGGCGATTCGAAATTGCTCTCGGATCTACATGCTAAGGCGTGAAGATTTACGGGAAGATCCGATCTGATTATTCTCTCGAGAAAAATCGCAGGGAAATTGAACCTCGGTATCACATTCACTTCGTAACCCAAACTTGTTATTTCCAACCTACAAAACGGGGAAAAAAATCGAAGCAAGCAAAATTAGAAACCAAAAAAAAAAATAGATTAAAAAAATGTTTCGACAATAAATTTTTGAATCGTACCCGTCGTTGCGAGACTTAACGGACCATTTGCCTTCGAATTTCTTGAAATCTCCATCAACCATCGAGAATCGAAGTTCGCGATCATCCTCCTAAATTACTTTAAATGGTAAGATATATAAAATCATGTCGTGCAAATAAAACGGTCACAAAGTACCGGAAAAAAAAATATCGTTTTAATTTACGGAAAAAAAATCTTCTTTCTCGTCTTATGTAGTGCATTTCCGAAAACCCGACTCACGGATTTACATTAACACTTAGTAATTTGAATTAAAATAAAAATTACTTACAGAGATAAGAAATTCTTGAAGATCCAAAACGACACGAGCTTCGATATGCCAATACAGTGCCCTTTGTAAGCCTCTCTGCTCTAACCATATCCTCCCTGGATGTGGGCAGGGAATTCTCCCACTGATACATATAATTTTAGCAACAAATACATTACAAATTTTAGAAAGAAAGAAAAAAATAGCATCAAATTCAGACACTAACTTCAATCAAGAAAAGAATATGGGTAAATTAGGGACACCCCCGAGGTAAGGTCAAATTACAAAAAAAAAAAAAAAAAAAACCCCTCTTGTTTGGGTAATTACAACCACCGCCCTCAACTATGAATCTTCTTACACGTCCATCCTTATGATGTCAAATTCAACATAATATTATAAATTCCGTGGAATGTTCTCTAGTTTGTATTTGTTTTGTGCAAAAATGCAATTTTCTGATGCACTACAAGTCTGATATTTACAAGTCAAAGAGACACATTTTAATATTTTTATGATCATCTTGTTTCAAAATGTGGAGCTCGAATAGGGTAAAACGGGTACAAATTAGAGCAATATTCCACATAATCTAGAGGATTCCACTAAATTTGATACCGCAATGGTGGACACCGAAGAAGATTCATAGTTGACAGGTGGTTGTAATCAGGGGCATAACCAGGCAATAGCTTCGGGGGCTTCCGCCCCTGATAAAAAAAAATTAATCCTATTTTTTATTAATTTTTATATTGTAGTATATTCTCCCCCTAAAAACTAAAATACTCATTTATAATACATGATTTCTAAGGTTATGAAGTTTAAATAAAGATATAATGATCATCTTATTAAAAAAAAATTACATAATTATTGTTGCTTATTCAAAATAAACCGAAAAAAATTCGGGGCACCGCCCGCGAACCACCGTAAATCCATAGCTTATTAAGTTACCGAACTCTCGCCCCCAAAAAAAGACCATTGGATCCGCCCCCGCTGTAATTACCCAAACATGAGAGGAATTTTCGTAATTTAACGATTCCCGTAATTCACCCAATAAGAAAATTACAGAAAAATCAAATCTTTATCTACTATTTTGATGATTTAAATTAGAAATTCAATACCTGCTAACAAGATTTGGGATGAAATCAGCAAGCCTTTCGTAATCAGTAAGAGCACGCCAAACGGAATCAACGTCGGAATCAACAGAAATCTCGCCTTTGATTCTACGCTCCCTCCATGAAATCACTTCCACCTCACACTTCACCTTTCTCCCTCCAACAACCACCACTTTCTCCCCCAATTCTTCTTCTTCCTTCTTTCCGTGTTCATCTTCTTCTTCGTCTTCTTTCCGTGTCATCTCTTCTTCGTCTCATTCTTCTGGTTATTGAAAGAGCGGCGCTCACATTTGGGAATTGGATGAAATTAGGGTCCCATTTGGGCGTATCTGCACTGCTGGCGAACGAAGAGAGTGCTACGCACGCGCTGCGGGGATTGGCGAGGCTTTGCTTGTGGGGTTTATTTACAGTGAGGATTGAACGGTGCGGCGGTGGAGTGCAATGTGAAGGCTTTACGGTGGTGGTGATCATGGAGTATTGTGCGTGTGTGACTGCGAGTGTGTGTGCGCGTGTGTTCACTGTGTGTGTGTGTGTTCTTTTTTACGAAATTTCAACTGTAGATTGATGGGTTAGTTTAGATATTTTTTAGTGTTTTTGGAAAATCTGGGTAGTGTTTCCATGGCCACAAATATTTTGGAGCTTGGCGTTTTCTTGAAGATGAGGGGATGAGTGGCAAACAAGTGTCAAGAAAATTTTCAAATTTGGTCAATGTTAATTTTGACTTTTTTTTTGGGTAAATTACACCTATACCCTTGATGTATGGCTAAAATAACTATTTATGGTCCATGTGGTATCGGTAATTACAATCATACCTGAAACATTGTTAGAAATTTTAACGGAATAGTGCATTGGATAAGTTATTCTGTTAGGTAGGGTTCTAATTGCCTATTAGTTTCAGTCAGTGCTGGAGATAACATAGAGCTAGGGGGTGACAAGAAAAATTAGATTACTTCGCAAGACACTATTGGCTACCTATATGTGCTTACGTTCGTAGCCAGTTGTCCAAGAGAAATTAGGTAAGATACTATTGGCTCCCTATATGTGCTTACGTTCGTAGCCAATTGTCCCAAAGATACAACATTTTAAGGGGTTCGATTTTTGCAGCATAACAAGAGTCGAACTACAACAAACAAAACATGAACTTTGAACTTTCTAGACACGAAAGAAGAAACCGATAATATGTTATGAAGTGCAGAAATTCGAATGAGTGATTTTGCAATCTGCAGGTAGGGTCTATTTATAGGACTATAAAAGTCAAAACTTTCTTGAAAAATGAGGGGTCCAAAAAGGAAATACCTTTTTCACAGGGACCAAGAACCAATTCGGTTCAAAGGCCACCTTTTGAATGACAGGCGCCACTTGGCGCACGCGTGGACGAATGATGTCACTCAAGGATGACACGTGTCATGCTCCGATTGGGTAGATTTAATTAATTTTGAATTTAATTAATTAAACTCACAAAACTTCATTAATTTGGATCCAAAACAAGCTCAAGGGTCGCGGGCTCGGGCCGAGAAGGCGATGGCGGGCGCATGTAGCTTTGCACTTAAGCTCAAACTTAGTCCATCTTTCACTATTTTTTAAAGTGTTCTCATAAAAAAAAAAAAAAAAAATCTAATGTGGGATTATGATTTTTCATTTTCCCCTCATAATTGATATCATTTAAGTGTTCATCTAAATGCATTAATTTATCATTCATCCATACGTGGTTTTGAGAAATTAACTAATCAACTCGAAACATAGAGTGTAAATATATATTTTATTTCCAGTTACGATAAACGGAACTTACTTAAAATATTTTACTAAAGTTGAGTTTAACCGAATTTCCCAACACATGAATAGTAACACAAACAAGAATCGACCAGGTAACATCGTCCAGAGGCCGAACTCCCGTGTCTTTTCACACACTCGTCTTGGCATTTTGCCTTCTCGCATAGATCGATTCCTTGCGGAGGAAGTTCCTCTGTACATGTTTCTGCTTTAACATCCATCTTACCTGCATTTACAAGTAAAATTCATTAAAAATACATTGATAATTTGTTTTATTTCCCCTCAATAATAAATACACAATTATATAGATATATTTTTTCATTTAAATTTAAAAATTTAACAGAAATTGAAAAAAAAAATAAGGGAGCCACGTGATTTTTATTTTTATATAAAAATCTGCTTGAATATGGATCTTCCACAAATTTCATATATTCGAACGAAGTGAACTTACGATTCGGTACATTTTTACGGGACATAATTGAATTTTTTTTCTACGCTTTACAAACGAAATTAATATTTAAAAAAAATCATTTAGACCTCCAAACTCTATTTTTTTTTATTAAAGAAAAAACAAACAAAGAAAAATAAAAAAATAAAAAATAAAAAAGTTGAAGATTATTACCGTAGTTAATTAGAAGTAAAAGTAGAAGGAAAGCAGGCAAAACAAAATGCTTCATTTTTGTGATGTCTGCAAATAATGAGAAAAAAATATTTTGATGGTTGTGTTTTAACTTCGTTTTATAGGGTAAATTTACAATGCTTAGGGTTATTAAACTAACTAGTTTTCTATTTAATTTGCAGATTACAATATATTGGATTCTTATTTAATAAATCTTATTGTAATAATTTCCAATAATAATCTTTTAATCATAGGTACATCCCAAGATTCTGAATTTCGGTCATCACAATTGTTACCATTTGTGAATTAGGAATTAATATTTTCATTTATGTAGGATTATTTACTTTCCTTGTTAGATATATTTAGTTATTTAATTTGAATTCATTGCATTTAGTACCCCTATACTATATCAAACTGCTAAAACAATCTTATTATTAATACTAAAGTTTTGGCCCGTGCGATGCACGGGATTGAAGTAAAGTTCAATTTAAACGACAAAACTGAAGTTTCAATTCATTTTGATATTTTACTATATATATTGATGATAATCCCTCATCCATAATTTTTTTTTGCCATATTTATTAATTTAACTTTATATTTTTTATGTAATATGGTTGTATATTTAATTTATCTCAGTTAGTGTTGAAGTTTGACGAATCTTCTTTATCACCCTAACATGCCTCAGTAAATTGATTGTAAATCAATGATGCCATTAAATCTCAAGAGTTTATCAGAAACAATTTTACTTTTATTAATAAGATAAGAACCAAATATTTTTCTAAACAATTAAATAATTTTTCCATCAAATTAATATTAAGTAAAAATGACAATTTTTGTGGGAAAAGATACGTAAATTTGGGACTAAAATGTCTGGATACTTACGGATTTATTAAACTTGATTATATTAAAATTAGTAATACAATAAAATTAATTAATTAAATAAATGATAATTATAATTTATAACTATCAAATGAGCGGGAAAAATTTCATAGGATTTAGCAGGAGCAACCTTACCTTTATTAATAAGAGAAGAACTTTACTTTTATTAATAAGATAAGAACCAAATGTTTTTCTAAACAATAAAATAATTTTCCCATCAAATTAATATTAAGTAAAAATGACAATTTTAGTTGGAAAAGATTACTTTTATTAATAAGATAAGAACCAAATGTTAATATAAATAATTAAATAATTTTTTCATCAAATTAATATTAAGTAAAATGACAATTTTAGTGAGAAAATATACGTAGATTTGGGGCCATAAAGTCTAGATATTTAACAGATTTATTAAACTTTATTATAATAAATATAATAAAACAATAAAATTAATAAATTAAATAAATGACAATTCTAATTTATAGCTATCAAATGAGTAGGAAAAATTTCCTAGAGTTTCGCAGGAGCTACATTACTTTTATTAATAAGATATTAAATAAAAATAAATAATAAAAATAAATAATTAAATAAATAAATAAAAATTATAACTATCAAATGAGCGGGAAAATTTTCCTAGGATTTAGCAAGAACAACCTTACTTTTATTAATAAGATTAGTAAAAAATTCCAATATGATTCGATTTATTTAGCAAACCGGGGCCAACTAAAAAATCGTTATTCCATGTTTTCTTCTTTTTTCTTTTTTTTTTTTGTTTTTTTTCTTCATTATTTGTTATTTGGTCTTGCACGAGTAAACAAAAGTCAATTTAATTTATGGGTGTATTTGTCATTTCATATTAATAAATTGGAATCTTTTGGAATTTTTCTTTAATTTGATCTTGCACAAGTAGAATTAGTATTGCATATAGTCGCAACCTTTCACTAAATAATCATTTATTTGATTATTTAGTATTGCTTTAGTCCCTACTCCCTAGTATCAACATGAAACAAAAATCAAAGGAGAAAATTAATCAAAGGAATATTATTCCTCCTGTTTAATTCGAGCTTAAGTAATTAATATTGTGGTTATTAAATAAATATTATAATAACTAATTATGACATGTAAATTCACAAAAACAAGTATCAATAAATAAACATCGTCCAACTGCTTTAGGACCATATTTGTTAACACAGTCATGCCCACATTTGACCTCGTCGCACAAACCAGATCCTGCCGGAAGTGCCTCTCTACACTTGTCTGTCTTCACTTTCATCTCACCTACATTTTTACAAGTCATTTTTCTTTTAAGGTTAAAAAAAAAATCCATTATATTTTCTAGGGCAAATTATGGCCACAATTTAAGGTGTTAAATTACGAAAACCCTCATCTTGTTAGGGTAATTAATTACAACCACCCTTCCTTTTTATATATTTTTACGTAAAATTTATGTAATTCGATTTTTATCGAACCAAATCGTATATTCAGTTCAACAGTAAAAAATGTTGGCGTACCAAAATTTCGGTTCAATTATTCCGATTTAACATCCTTAAATTTACCTCTGGAAGGATTTTTTTGTAAGATAATACATAGCTGAGGGGGTTTTTCATAATTTGACCATAACTCAGGGAGTGGCCGTAATTTGCCGTATTTTCTATTAAGTATATACACATATATATTAATTAAAATTTTGGGAAAATTACACCTACAACCTTGAGCTATGTTAAAATAATTTTAAAGTCCATGAGGTACTTGTAATTACAGCCACACCCCTGAAACAATTACCAGAGCCAAGGTTTCATGTCCTGTGGACTGATATGAACTATACTTTTTCCCCGCATGACTGTTAATCTGTTAATGCTACCTTATACAAAAATTTATAAATTTTATATAGAAAACAATAAGGATTTAAGAAATGTTAGGAGTGTCATGTCACCATCTAGCTCTATGTTGTATATACCACTGTTTGAAACTAATAGT